CGCCTTGCCGCGCCCCTCCTCCCTCCACATGTCCATCCTCCTCGTCGTCCTCCTCCCCTCGTCCTCGTCCCCCTCCTGTCCCTCCTCCTTCCTGGCCTCTTCTCTAATCCAGCCATGTCCTGGCTCGTCGTCGTCCCAGCCAGACGAGCCTGGTGCTCTCCTCTCAGCTTCAAATGAGGAGGCACTGGCCTCCCGGTGGGTGGGTGAGGGCGGCGATGAGCTCTTGCACGGCCGTCCGCGGCGGCGACGACGCCCGGTGGCCTCGACGGGCCCGGCGAATCGTCCACAGAGATTTGAAACCCGAGAACATCCTCGTCCATCGAGGAGACTCGCGTCCAGAGGAAGGGAAACTGGCCGTCAAGATCTCGGACTTCGGCCACTCCAAGATCATCGGAGAGGGCTACAGCATCGCGCAGACGGTGTGCGGCACGCCGCAGTACTGGGCTCCCGAGGTCGCCGCTCCCAGCGCCAGAGGGTACGACGAGAAGGCCAGCCATTCTCGATCTTCTCTTTTCCTCTTGCACCTTCTCCTGGCACTGTGCCGATGCAGAAGCTTCGTCGTCCCCATGGGCGCGGAGATAGTCGTGCTTCGCGCGTCGCGGCCTAGGTCGGAGAGGCGCCTCTACTCCGAAGTGGCCTCGCGGGGGCGCGCAGCTAACCGCGCGTCGCGCATCGCGGGGCACGGTGCGCGACGTCAGGCTACAGGGAGGAAATCAGCTTCTTTCCTCCTTCTCTTACTTGACGGTAGGCCACAAGAGGAGTAACCAGCCCGTCAGCAGGCGCCGCATTGTGATGTCTTATCCCACGATGGCCCTGGAGACCCACAGAAGCTCTGGGGCCCCTGAGGTCTCTCAGTAATCGTCCAGGAATGTGCCTCAAGACGTCGTCGAGCAAGTTGTCCCATCGTTTGTGTCTGGTTCGCTTTCTCCCGGCGCCTTGCCGACGCATAACAGCTCAGCTTTCATCATCCTGACCATCAGCATCATCATCATCACAACTATCATCACAACTATCATCATCATCATCATCATCATCATCATCATCATCATCAGCAGCAGCAGCATCATCATCATCATCATCATCATCATCATCATCATCATCATCATCATCATCATCATCATCATCATCATTAGTATCATCATCATCATCATCCTCATCATCATCATGATCATCCTCATCATCGACATCATCATCACCGCCATCACCATCATCATCAACACCATCACGATCATCGTCATCAACAACATCATCATCATCCTCGACGCGACTGGAAGACACTCAGGACGCGTGGATTCGACCTGCCTTCGGCACAGCGGCAGAAACCGCACTATGTTGAATGGCTTGTTCCTGGACTGCTAACTTACCAATGTTAGCCAGCACGAGGTGCTGCCGGTGTTTCGACACTCTCTGGGCATTTGACAACAACAACGGCAGCAACAACAACAACAACAACAGCAACAACAACAGCAACAATCATTTTACCCTCCTGCGCGATGTTTCCACACGAAGCATGCGACCATCATGATAGCCATTCACATCATGGGGAACTCTTGTTCTATAGCGGGGTCCGTTATTCTCATTCCCAGATCTCCCGCCCAATGAGGTCTTGCGAACACCGCCTCCAAGGAATTTCAACATATCCTGCCTCGAAAGCACATGCCCGCGCCTTGCTGCGCCGATGCGAGACCGCCAGTGGAACCCCAGTGAAGGGTAAATCACAAGGAAGCATCGAACGACAGGATTGCCTTGGTGGGGATGGGGGCTGTCGGCGGTGAGGCAAGGACCTGGCCCTGAATAGAAAGGGAGGAAGTCTCGAGCAGGGATGCTGTTGTTGCTGGGAGCGGCGCTTATGCTGAAGAGAGTAGGGCGCTAGTCCAGCGTAAAACAATACAAAATCTCGAGCGGAACGTTGGTTTTGTTGGGACGGCGGCTTTCGGCGTTGAGGAGGAACACCGCCTTGAGTAAGAAAGGAGAAAGCATCGAGCGGGAGCCGTGGCTTTGTCGGGACGGGGGCTGTCGGCGGCGAGGAGCACCACCGTCCCGAGGACAAAGAGAGGACATCTCGAGCGGGAGCGTTGTTCTTGATGGGAGCGTCGCCAATTCAAAAGAGAGTAGGGCGCCAGTCCAGCGTAAAACGGAAGGAAGTCTCGGGCGGGAGCGCTGGTTTTGTCGGGGCGGCAGTTTTCGGCGGCGAGGAGGAACACCGCCTTGAGTAATAAGGGAGGAAGCATCGAGCGGGAACCGTGGTTTTGTTGGGACGGGGGTTGTCGGCGGCGAGGAACAGCACCGTCTTCAGGAAGAAGGGGGGAAGCCTCGAGCGGGAGCGCTGTTCTTGCTGGGAGCGGCGCCAATTCAAAAGAGAGTTGGGCGTCAGTCCAGCGTAAAACTGAAGGAAGTCTTGGGCTGGAGCGCTGTTTTTGTCGGGGCGGCGGTTTTCGGCGGCGAGGAGGAGCACCGCCTTGAGTAAAAAAGGGAGGAAGCATCGAGCGGGAGCGTTGTCTTTGCTGGGGGCGGCGCCGATGAGAGAAAGACTAGCGCGCCAGTCCAAGGTAAAACGGGAGGACGTCTCGAGCGGGAGCGTTGGTTTTGTTAGGACGGCGACTTTCGGCGGCGAGCAAGAACACCAGCCCTGAGTAAAAAAGGAGGAAGTCTCGAGCGGGAGCGTTGTTGTTGTTGTTGTTGGGGGGCCGTCTTTGGCGGTCCCCCAAATCGCTCGAGCGTGAGCTTCATTTTCAATGAAAATGTAGCCGGCGCCTCGGCGAGAGCGCCAGGGCGCCTATAAGGGGTCCAACAATAAAAATTGTTCAGTAATTAACATTCAATCATTTTGAGACTGTTCGCTCTTATCTGCTCGAGTGTCCGTTAACTCGTATTTCCCAAGCCCTCGATACCCGCCGTCTTCGTTTTCGATCGTACCCCTTTTGGGGGGTATATTTTTCTTCCCTGCAGGCCGGGCCCCGGCAAGCGGCGGGGCGGTCGCGGACCGTCGGCCTGGCCAGCGGCAGCGCTGATCGGCGGCAACCCGACCCCAAGAGGGACGGACAGGGGACCGACCACGACGACGACGACGACGACGACGACGACGACGACGACGACGTTGACGACGACGACGACGACGTCGACGACGACGACGGCGACGACGAGCGAAAGCGAGAGCGAGAGAGAGAACGACAGCAGGGCCACGAAGGGCACGAAGTCGGCCACGAAGGGCGACAGCGGGGACACGAAGGGAATGCGTATGGGACCACGAAGGGCGCGAACGAACGGGGACCACGAAGGGCAGATAATGTGGGGCCACAGGAGGCAACGACGGGGCCACTGAGGGTAGCAACTGGGCCACGTAGGACAGCGAGGGGGCCGCAAAGGGCGACAGCGGGGCCACGAAGGGCATACACGCGGGGCCACGACGGGCGCGAACGAGCGGGGGCCACGAAGGGCATGCGTATATTGGGCCGCGGAGGGCAAGGGCGGGGCCACTGAGGGCACCAACGGGGCCACGAAGGGCAGCGAGGGGGCCACGAAGGGCATGCATATGGGGCCACGACGGGCGCGAACGAGCGGGGGCCACGAAGGGCATAGGTATATGGGGCCACGAAGGGCAGCGAAGGGGCCACGAAGGGCAGCGAGGGGGCCACGAAGGGCCGCAACGGGGCCACGAAGGGTTGCAACGGGGCCACGAAAGGCAGCGAGGGGGCCACGGAAGGCTGCAACGGGGCCACGAAGGACAGCGAGGGGGCCACGAAGGGTTGCAACGGGGCCACGGAGGGCAGCGAGGGGGCCACGAAGGGCTGCAACGGGGCCACGACAGGCAGCGAGGGGGCCACGAAGGGTTGCAACGGGGCCACGAAAGGCAGCGAGGGGGCCACGAAGGGCTGCAACGGGGCCACGAAGGGCAGCGAGGGGGCCACGGAAGGCTGCAACGGGGCCACGAAGGGCAGCGAAGGGGCCACGAAGGGGTGCAACGGGGCCACGAAGGGCAGCGAGGGGGCCACGAAAGGTCGCAACGGGTCCACGGAGGGCAGCGAGGGGGCCACGACGGGCTGCAACGGGGCCACGAACGGCAGCGATATCCCGATTATTTTAATCATATGTGAGGGTGTCCTGCGTGAGCGCGACTCCTGGGTGCCTGAGTGTCGGGAGCGCGGCGTTTGAGGACATGGATAAAAATTCCAACGCGAGGGCGCTATTCTTGAGTAGACCGCAAGCAAACCTACAGCGAGAGCGCGACTCCAGAGCGCCGAGAGGACGATTCCTGCGGAAAGCGTAAAGAAGTCCAACGCGAGATCGCGATTCCTGAATACAATGCGAGGAAGTCTCAGACGGGAGCGGGGGTCCTGGCTAAATTGTGAGGAAGTCTCAGGCGGGAGCCGTTGTTGTTGTAACCCGGGGGCCAGGGGCACAGTTTGAGGAAAAACACTCTCTCTGAAAAAACCGGGTGCGAGCGCCGGGAGGGGCATTCCAAATGAAACATGCAATCGTCATCAACAAAAACAACATCAGCAGCAACATCAACAACAGCAGCAGCAACAACAATAATCTCCTCTACCTCCTTGCCTGGGCTCCCGCAGCCTCGGTGCGGGCCGCCGAGCTTGCAGTGCCTCTCCTGCCCCTCTCGCTTCCCCCCCCCTCCCCCCTCCCCGAGGGCCGCGAGCCACGAGTCATCGGCAGGCCCTTCCCTCCCTCCCCTCGCTCCCTCCCCTCCCCTCCTCTTCCTCCCTCCCTCCCCCTCCCTCTCAACCTCCCCCTCGCTCCTCCTCGCTCCTCCTCCTCCTCCTCTCCTCCTCCTCCTCTCTCCTCCTCCTCCTCCTCCTCTCCTCTCCTCCTCCTCTCCTCCTCCTCCTCTTCTCCTCCTCCTCCTCCTCCTCCTCCTCCTCCTCCTCCTCCTCCTCCTCCTCCCCCTCCTCCTCCTCCTCCTTCTCGGTCATTCTCGCATGACCCCCTTGGCTACCCGTCGTGTTTTGTGTAGCGTTGCAGCGTGATGTCGCGGCGCGGGTTCCGAAGGTCGACCTCTGGAGCCTCGGCGTGGTCTTGTACGTCATGCTGGAGGGCATCTACCCGTTCGGGGGCGGCAGCATGCGCCTGGATGAGCAGGTGCGCGAGGCCAGGTACCGCGAGCTGCAGCACGGCGGCCCCAGCGCTAGGGAGATTGTCCGAGGCCTCATCCAGAGGAGGAAACCGGCACAGCCACGGTAACAGTTGAGCGGCGAATAGCCAGGTGACGTGCCCAACCTTTGTGCAGCAAGCGACAAGAGGAGCGGGTCCAAACTTGCCAAGGCAATGGCAGTGCGGGCGCCGCCATATGCTGTGCAGGCTACACGGGGTGCGCTCGCACGGCACGACCCACAGGGCAGCAGCAGAAGGACGAGGAGCGGAGGCCCAGGCTTCGGGAGGGCATGGGGGCGGGAACGAAAGGACGCGCGGGGGGCCGAACCGTCAGCGCGGCAGCAGCAGAAGAAAGGTGGCAGAGGGCAGAGAACGACGACGAAAGTGACTGGAGGACACGAAGAGTGTTGCTGTTGGTCAGTAGTGCGCTACAGATGCAGCGCTGCGCCATGTCGCCGCGGCGCTCGAGCAAACATTAAACCTGCTTATATTCAGTGCAAGAAGCGGGCGAGGCCTTGCCCGCCCGCTAGCTTCGCAGCCCCCCCAGGGATGGCGAGGTCTTCTGGTAGTCCGCGTGGAACGTCGCCCCGCTGCACCCCGCAGCAGCCTCCGAAAGTGGCGACACCTTCGCAGATCGCAGCCCCCCGAGGGATGGCGCGGCCTCATCTGAATCTGGGTGAGACGCCAATCCGCTCGGCCCCCCCCGGCAGCTCCCGAAAGTGGCGACAGGTTCGGAGATCGCAGCCCCACAGGGATGGCAAGGTCTCATCTGAAGGTGTGTAGAACGTCACCCCGCTGGACCCCCCAGCTGCCCTCGAAAGTGGCGACAGGTTCCCAAATCGCAGCCCCCCAGGGATGGCGAGCTTCTCATCTGCATCAGGATAATACGTCACTCCGCTGGACCCCCCAGCAGCCCTCGAAAGCGGCGGCAGCTTCGCAGATTGCAGCCCCCCAGGGATGGCGAGGTCTCAGTTGAGTCTGGGTGAGGCGGCAGTCCGCTGGACCCCCAGCAGCCCTCGAGAATTACGATTTCGCAGACCGCAGCCCCCCAGGGATGGCGATGTCTCATTTGATTCTGGGTGAGACGTCACTCCGCTGGACCCCCCAAGCAGCCCTCGAATTTGGCGACACTTTCGCAGATCGCAGCCCCCCAGGGATGGCGAGGTGTATTTTGAAACTGTGTATGGCGTCTCTCCGTTGGACACCCCAGCAGCCCTCGAAAGTGGCGACAGTTTCGCAGACCGCCGACCAACAGGGGGGCGAGGTCTAATTTGAATCAGGGTAAGGCGTCACTCCGCTGGACCCCCTAGCAGCCCTGAGCTTGGCGACATTTTTGCAGATCGCAGCCCCCAAGGATGACGAAGTCGAATTTGAATATTGGCAAGACGCCACTCCGCAGGACCCCCCAGCAGCCTTGGAAGGGGCCGACACTTTCGCAGATCGCAGCCCCGAATGGACGGCGAGGGTTGAATCCGGGTAAGACGTCACTCCGCTGGGACCCCCCAGCACCCCTTGAAGGTGGTGGTTTCGCAGATCACAGCCCCCAGGGATGGCGAGGTCTAATGTGAGTTTGGATAAGACGTCACTCCGCTGGACCCCCAGCAGCCCTTTCGCAGATCGCAGCCCCCAGAGATGGCGAGGTCGAATGCGAGTTTGGGTAAGACGTCACGCCGCTGGACCCCCAGCAGCCCTCGAAAGTGGCGGCAGTTTCGCGGATCGCAGCCCCCCCGTGATGGCGAAGTTGAATTGTATTGAGTCTGGGTCAGACGTCACTCCGCTGGACCCCCCAGCAGCCCTCGAAAGTGGCGACAGGTTCCCAAATCGCAGCCTCCCGGGGATGGCGAGGTCTCATCTGCATCTGGGTAGTACGCCACTCCGCTGGACCCCCCAGCAGCCCTCGAAAACGGCGGCAGCTTCTCAAATCGCAGCCCCCCAGGGATTGCGATGCCTCATTTGAGTCTGGGTAAGACGTCACGCCGCTGGACCCCCAGCAGCCCTCGAAAGTGGCGGCAGTTTCGCGGATCGCAGCCCCCCAGCGATGGCGAAGTTGCATTGTATTGAATCTGGGTAAGACGTCACTCCGCTGGACCCCCCAGCAGCCCTCGAAAGTGGCGACAGTTTCGCAGACCGTCGACCAACAGGGATGGCGAGGTGTAATTTGAAACTGAGTAGGGCGTCGCTCCGCTGGACCCCCTAGCAGCCCTCGAAAATGGCGGCAGTTTCGCAGATCGCAGCCCTCCAGGGATGGAACGAGGGGGGAGGCCAGAGAGGAGGGAATAGGGGGCGGGAGGGAAGGAGGCGTGCGACCGCAGTGCTCTATTCAAAACGAGTGCCCAACGCAAGAGGGTTGGTGAAGGGACGGGTTCAATTGCGCCGACATTCGCGCGTAAGCTGCTCGCGTAAGGTCGCGCGTGAGCGCCCTCGTTCCCCCTGTGGTGTGCCGCGCTGGCGGCCCGCGTAAGCTGCGGCGTAAGGTTGCTGTGCCATCTCGCGTAAGACCCGTTTTTGATGTTCGCTCAAGTGGAGTTCCGCGCGGATTTTCTTGGATCTGTGTTGGGCTCCCCTGGCGGCGCCTCTGGCGCCGCCCCTGGCGCGCTCCGCGCGCCAGGGAGGGGGTGGTCCATCGCCGATCCAAGACATCCTCGCGGAGCTCCGCATGTTTATGCCTCTGCTGCTTTCTTCCTCTGCCATCCAGAAGCAGCCACAGGACCGCCTGTCATTGGACAGGTGTCTGCGGCACAGGTGGCTGCGGCAGATGGACACCGCACCCCTGGATGCCGCTGGACAGCCCCAGCAGGCGGACGACGAGCACTTCAGCCTGCACGTCATGCCGGCCGAGACCAAGAGGCTAAGAGAAGAGCTCCAGCTCGAGGAGCCAACAAAAATGCGCAAACATGAACGTTCGGAGGTCCACGGGGATTGCTTGGATCGGCGCTTCACCCCCGTGGCGGCACTTCTGTGGCTCGCCCCTGGCGCGCTCTCGTTGCCAGGGAGGGGGCTCTAGCGCCGATCCGAGAACTCCGCGCGGGAGCCCGACGGTGCATGTTTCTGCAATTGTCTGTTCCTCTCACCAGCGCTTCAACGCCAAGCACAAGCTGTTCCCAGCCGTGTTCCGGGACCGGAAGGTGTCGGTTACCTGGAGCGCGCCCCCCGAGCTGCCTTCTGTCAGCAAGGAGGAGGCCCGCGCCGAGCTCCTGGACATCATCGCCGCCTTCTGCCCCACGGACCCCCGGGTCGCCGTAGGCGCGGCGCTGTCCACCGTCGCCGAAGAGCGCGCCCTTAGGGCCCGCCCCGCCTGAGGCCCCTGGCCCTTCAGGCCCGCACAGCCGACGGCGTGCTCTTCTCGCCATCCGCGGCTCCATCGGACCTCGGGGGGGTTCGATCATCCTCATCTTCATCACCATCATCGTCAGCACCTTCATCACCACCATCATCATCATCAGCATCATCATCAGCATCGTCGTCATCATCATCAGCAGCACCATCGTTTTAATCATCATCATCATCATCATCATCACCATCATCATCATCATCATCATCATCATCATCATCATCATCATCATCATCATCATCATCATCATCAGCATCATCAGCATCATCAGCATCATCAGCATTATCATCATCATTCCTTCTGCTCCACACGCCCCAGTGGCAGGGTCCGCGTGCGCCCACCTCATTTTTGGCACTTTCCATCACACGCTTCGTGGCCTGTAGGTAGCTCCACCGAACGAAGGCCCCAGTGGCAGCGCTCGCATGCGCCCACCTCGCCACTTCGGCAGGCACCTCACACGTTTCCACACGCTTCGCGGCCGCATAGGGACCTCCACCAAAGGCCCCAGTGGCAGCGCCCCCACGCGCCCACCCCACTCATCGTGCAGAGCCCTCACACGTTCTTCGGCCCGATAGGGAGCTCCACCGAAGGCCCCAGTGGCAGCGCCCGCATGCGCCCACCCAACCAATTTGGCAGGGCCCTCGCGCGCTTCGTGGCTCCATAGGGAGCTCCACGGAAGGCCCCAGTGGCAGCGCCCACGTGCGCCCGCCCCACCACTTTCGCGGAGCCCTCGCGCGCCTCGTGGCTCCGTGGGGAGCTCTCGCGCCGCCGTGCGCCCAGCCCGCTGATCTGGCAGACCCGTCGCGCGCTGCGGGGCCCGCGCGCGCCCGCCCGCAGCACTCGGGCAGACCCCCCGGCACGCCCCGCGGGCTCCACGGGGAGCTCCGCCCGCGGGGGACCCTTCGTCCCTCGTGCGCCGACCTCGCCTCGCGTGGCTGCCACTGCGCAGCCGTCGCCACCTTCGTGCGGCGTTGGGTGCCCCAGCGGATCGACGTCCTGCGCCGATGCAGAGCAGGTCATCGCGGCTCCCCAGGGGGGGAGCCAGCTGCGCATTCATCGCCCCTGGTCGTGAGCCCCTGGGAGGTCCGGTGGAGTGGCGACATTGCACGCACTCGCGGACGCGTCGCCACTCGCGCACGTGTCGCCACTTCCGCGGGCTCCTGGGAGGAGGTTCAGCGAAGCGGGGACATATGCACACCCGGACTATAACGACGACGCCGACGCCAGCTCTGTGTTCCCAAAGGCTCGCGCCAGCGCAGGCGACGACAACGACGACGATGGGGCTCAAGGTTCTAACGTCTAGAACGGCCGGTTCTAAAGGCTCTAAAGCTGAGAACCGTGGGCTCTAAGCTGTAGAAAAGTCGGTTCCACAGGTGTTCGGGGCTCTAAGCATAGAATCGTGGGCTCTGAAGTTAGATCGGTGGGTCTTCAGATTTAGAAACGTTGGGCGAAAATTTCTAAAGCTTAGATTCGTGGATTAAAACAATTAGAACCGACGGGTCTAAAGAGTCTAACTTCCAGACCCGCTTGTTCCAGTGGTTCTGAAGACTAGAACCGTGGGTCCTAAGCTGTACAACCGTCGTTTCTAAGAGTGTTCAAGACTCTAAGCTAAGACCCGTGGGCTCTAAGCTTTGAACTTCGGGTTCTAAGTTTTCGAACCGCGGCGTCGAAATAATCTAAAGCTCCGTGGGTTCTAAGCTTTCAAGCCGTGGCTTTGAAAGTCTTTGAAACTTCGAACCCTGGGTTCCAAGTTTCAAAACCGACGGTTCTAAAAAGGTGCTCGAGGCTGTAAGATGTGGGTTCTAAGCATCAGAACCGTTGTGGAAAGCCGACTCCTCTGCATGGGGCCCCGCGCGATCCATCGAGACACAAGCAACAAACCACTTCTCACTACAAAACGCGAGCTCGTGTCTCGATGGGCTCGCGCGGGGTCCCGCGAGTATCCTTCCGGACATAAGCTCGAATGATTGGGCAGGTAAAGGAAGTGGCTTGTGTCTCGATGGGCCCGGGATGCGTTCAGAACCGTCTAGTCATGAACATGTGGCAGGCCAACGGATGCTTGGAATTCATTATTTCGGGCTCGCGTTTCGATGGGCTGCTTGTGTCTCGATAGGCTCGCGCCAGACCCTGCAGGGCCTCCTGGGCCCTCGAGACACAAGCAGCAACGTCTAATTGCAAACTCGAGTTTGTGTCTCGATGGGCTCGCGCAGGATCCCGCACTGCCCCGCGCGAGGCCATCGAGCACAGGCAACAAAATCTAACTGCGAACTCGAGCTTTGTCTCGACGTGCTCGAGCGGGATCGTGCGGGGCCCCGCGCGAGCACACCGAGACGCAAGCAACAACATCCAATTGCAAACCCACGGCCCCGCGCGAGCCCACAGGGTCCGCGCGAGCCCATCGAGGCACAAACCACACATTGCAATTGCAACCTCGAGGTTGTGTCTCGATGGGCTCGTGCAGGACCCCGCGGTGCCCCCGCGCGAGCCCATCGAGAAACAAGTAACACACCATTTCTAAATAGCTCGAGCTTGTGTCTCGGCGGGCTCGCGCGGTGTCCCCCGGGGTTCCGCCCGCGCGAGCCCATCGAGACAGGCGCAACAACATCTGACTGCAAACTCAGGATTGTGTCTCGATGGGCTGGCGTGGGGTCCCATGCAGACGCAATCAGCCTCGAACTGCAGGCAACATATCAAAATAACAGATGCGTGGAAACGATGGTTCCACACATGCCGTGGCCCACCAGATGTCAAAAGCCGACGGTTCTAAACATCCCGTGAACCACGGGATGTTTAGAACCAATACCAGGCTTTAAGCTTAGAACCATGAGTGTCATTTGATTGAACCGACTGTTCTAAAGGTTCTAACCTGTATAACCGCCAGCTCTAAAGGCTATAAAGCTTAGAACAGTGGGTTCTATGCATCAGAAGCGTCGTTTATACAGGTGCTCGGGGCTCTGGGCTTCGAGTCGTGGGCTCGAATCTGAGAACCATGGGCCCAACCCTTACAGCCATGGGTCGTAAAGGTTCTAAAGCTTAGAACGTGGGTCCGATGCTCTAAACCCGTCGGTTACAATGGTTCTGAAGCTCAGAGCCGAGGGTTCTAGGCTGTAGAGCCGTCGGTTCTAAGTGTATTCGGGGTTCCAAGCTTATACCCGTGGGCTCTAAGCTGAGTGAACCGTGGGTTTGACGTTTTCGAACCGAGCTTAGAACGTTTGGTGCTAAGCTTTAGGGGCGACTTGTCTAAAGGTTCTAACCTTTAAAGCCATGGTTTCGAAAGGTACTGGAGCTTAGAACCGTGGGTCCTCAGTTGTAGAACAATCAGTTCAACAGGTGTTTGGGGTTCTAAGCTCAGACCTGTGGGTTACAAGCTTAGAACCGCAGGTTAAAAGTTTTAGAGTTGGGAGTTCTCGGAGCTTCTAAAGCTTATGCGGCGGGCTCTACGTTCAGGACCGGCGATTCTAAGTACAGCCGTGGGTTCTAGAGGTTCTAATTCTTAGAATTGTGGTTTATGAATTTTTGAACCGCCAGTTCTACAGGTGCTCCGGGTCTAAGCTCAGAAACGTAGGTTCTGAGCTGAGAATTGCGGGTTCTATCTTAACTTTAGAACCGACGGTTCTACAGCCTCTACCCTTCAGAGCCATGGGTTCTGAAGGTATGAAAGCCCAGGACAGTAGGTTCGCACCGACGGTTCTAAAGGTGTACGGGGCTCTCCAAGCATAGAACCGTGGGTTCTCTAAGCATAGACAGTGGGCTCTCAATGTTCTATATCTTAGAACCGTGGTCGTGTCTCAATGGGCTCGCCCATGCGCCTGGCGGGCGGGTGAGCCCGTAGAAGGGGGGCGGCGACGACGCCGACGCCGACGACCACCACCACCACCACCACCACCACCACCACCACCACCACCACCACCACCACCACGTCGACGACGCCGACGCTGACGCTGAACGCTGCAATTGCCGTTGCCGCCGCCGCCGACGACGACGACGCCGACGACGACGACGACGACGATGACCGCGTCGATGTCGTCGCGATCTGGAAATTTGCGCTTGGAGAGTATGGTAAGACGTTTCGCGCATTCCCCACGCGAAATGGCCGTGACTTAAAGATGCTGTAAACCTTCTCGCGCGCTTCTCGCGCGAACCAGAGTTCCTGCGTTTACAGGTTAGTGCGTGTATTTCGATGGGGCCCCTCGCCCGCTGGGCGCATGGGCGAGCCCGTCGGGACACCAGCAACCCCTTCTCACTGCCCAGTCGCTGGAGCTTGCAGTTCGGAGTTGTTGCCTATCTCTCGATCAGCTCGCGCGGGGCCCTGCGGGGTCCTGACAGAGCCCATCGAGGCACAGGCTCGAGCTTGCAGTTGGAGTCAGAGGTCGTTGCTCGGGTCTCGAGCGATCGGTTTCCAATCGTGCCGCGACCTGCCATACCCTGAGGACCGACGGTTCTGGACGCGTCCGGGGCCCATCGGGGCGCAAGGCAGCAGGTTGCTATCAGAAGTGTTTTGCTGCCCGTGCTTCGATGCGCGTCGCGCGGGGGGCTCGCGGCCGTCGGGAGCGGGTGCTGCGTGTGCCTCGATGGGCTCGCGCCGGGCCCCGCACGAGCCCGTCGAGATACAAGCAATAACGTTGAGACTACGATGCTTGTTTTGCCATGACAGCATTTTTGCAGCAGCGCTGCTGATCCTGTCACCCTCTAGCCCATGGAATGTATGCAGAAAGACCCATAGAAGTATGGCCACACCAATCGGTATAGTCTGCTCGACCCCCAGAAGTGTCGGCAAACGAGTTGAGCTTTCAGGGCCGCGCCGCAGAACAAAAAATAGGGCGAGGGGGAAAATGAGGAAGCACGATGCGGAACAATATCCACAACATGCGGCGGAACAAGAATTGGCATTAAGGAGCCAGGCCATGGTGGAAACGGACTTGATTCCCCTAGGCGTCGACGCCGGCCCAGCGATGGCGACGTTTGCCAAGCTCCCAGGAGTTGGCGAAAGTGCCGACGTTCGCGCACGTGGCAGTCCCCCAAGGAGCGCTGAGGTC